CTAAAAGTAGTTCTCCTAGAGGCACGAACTCACGCCCTCCAACAGCAAGCGACTACTGATAACCAACTGGACTACGACACACCACTGACCAAATCCAGGGCGAAACATAATCTACATTTGTAGCCGCGAAATTTAATACACATGTAAACATTTACTGTAGCGCTTTGATTTTAAATTATTTGAAAACATTTGAGAAAAAGTTCATGAATTACAGAAAAGTTCATTGGTTCTTAAAAAAAATCATATTTCAAAAAAAGTTCATCGAATTCGAAAAGAAGTTGGTCGGTTTTGAAAAGAGTTCATAGAATTTGAAAAAAAGTTTCATCTATTTTGAAAAAGAGTTCATCGAATTCGAAAAGAAGTTGGTCGGTTTTGAAAAGAGTTCATAGAATTTGAAAAAAAGTTTCATCTATTTTGAAAAAGAGTTCATCGACTTTGAAAAAAGTTCATCAATTTTGAAAAAGAGTTCATCGATTTGGAAAAAAGTTCATAGGTTTTGAAAAAATAGTTCGTCGACTTTAAAAAGAGTTCATCGGTTTCGAAAAAGAGTTCATTGATTTTGAAAAGGAGTTCATCGATTTGGAAAAAAGTTCATCGGTTTTCAAAAAAGAGTTCAACGACTTTGAAAAAAGTTCATCGATTTTGAAAAAGAGTTCATCGATTTGGAAAAAAATTCATCGTTTTGAAAAAAGAGTTCATCGGTTTTGGAAAAGAGTTCATTGATTTGGAAAAAAGTTCATCGGTTTTGAAAAAATAGTTCATCAACTTTGAAAAAAGTTCATCGATTATGAAAAGTGTTCGTTGATTTTGAAAAAAAAAGTTCGTCGAATTTGAAAAAAGAGTTCATCGATTTTGATAAAAAGTTCATTGAATTTGAACAGGTTCACCAAATTTGAATAAAAAATTGCACATTTACGAAAAAAAGAAAAAGGAATAAGAAAAGAAAAATGAAAAAAGAGCAGGAAAAAGGAGAAGAGGAAAATATCACGACCTGGACAAACAATAAAAGAAGGAAAAGAGGTTTGCAGACACCAAGTCGTTCGTTGCCTAGTTGTAACTGCGTTGTTGTCAATATTGAGACATCTCAGGTTCGAACCACCGCACACAATCTTTTTTGATTGATTGCAGTTTTAACAGAAAAAAGAAGAAATGGGCCGGCCCAGTCTGGCGCGGGTGGTATGCGCCCGTTTGCGTGCAGCTAAGAAACGGGCGCAATGGGTGCCGTTTAGGATTTGCCCTCCGCTAGTGCTCCCTTAGATCCCGATGATGCATTTTATACACACGTCGGCCTTACTGTTCCTTCCCCGGATCAAAGTCCTGAACACCGAAGTGTCCGTGTTTCTTCTTCTCCAAGTCAAGAATTCCCCCGTTTGGAAACTTCCCAGCATCAGTTTCCTCCAAGCCATGATCTCCTGGAGATCCATGGGTGAACTGCGTCGCAACAAAGTCATGTGTAGTAACAGCGTCGTCCTACACGGTAAAGATGGAATGCGGCGGCCGCTGCCGCGTCGCCCCGGCGAAGCGTTTTCCATACGTTTTCACGGTTTGTGTTGTGAGATATTCGTCAAAGCACCTCACTCTATTTCGAAAATATATTTGTTGTCTATAAATTGGTTAAAGTTACACTACGTTGACTTTTGACTAAAAATATACGTCTTGATTTAGGGACTGGAGGTACATGCATAACGACTTGGAATGACACGTTCGTAGCAGGAACTTTTCTACTTTCATCATGTACCTTCCAGTGAACTTATCTATTATGCTCCCTAGTACCAACAGTTGTATCGATTGAGTTTTCTCTTCCTGGCGGCTGGAACCCTAGCCGCCGCCTGGAGAGGCAACTTTCAGCACTGTCCTCTGGCGGCTCTCCTTCGCTGGCAACCTTTGTCGTCGGTGGTAGGAGGGTCGCTGGATCCACACGCGTGGATCGTTTTTACTCCCTTGTAGTCTAGGTTTTTAGGTTGTTCATCGTTTTGGCTTCAGCGCAACAATGATGGAGCTGATTAAAGATTCTTTAGATCCATCCCTGACGAGGCCATCGGTCCTATGATTGGGGATGGATTTGGAAACCAGTTGTTCAAGTAAGGATGACGTGGTAGCGGCGACATCCTCATGGTGGACATGTGTCCTCGGGCTCCACCGTTGCGATGGCGTTTGCTCCAGCGGAGGCGCGGAGCTTGGGAGATAGTCCAGGAGCGGATGCAGAGTGTGGTCTGCATCGACGACATCTGAAAGACGAAACGTGTCGTGTCGAATTTGTCACGGCTGATGTCCTAGTGTGAGGACTTAATTGTGAGGCCAACGCATCTTTGTAGTAGCTTGAGAGGAATTGAGCGGAATCGAGAGACGCAACACAGGACAAAGATTTAGACAGCTTCGGGCCCCAGGAAACATCATCCGGTAATAGACCTACATGTTGTTTGTGGCTAGATCTCATTATGCTCACGAAAGAGTCACTATATAAGCCGGCTCCCCCTTTGTGTCTAGCGCTAGAGATTGTTTCTTATTGCTTGTCCCTCTTGGGGAGGCCTGCCCCTCCTTATATATGTTGAAGGGGCGAGTTACATGACTAGTCCTAGTAGGATTAGGATTACTCTATTACAAGGGGAGTCCTAGTCTTGCTTCCTTTGTAGGAGAATATTCCTTATGCCTCTCCTCATAAACCGGCCTACCATTAACATGAGCCGGCCCTCTGGGCCTTGGGCCTTGTCGTCCTTCTGACCCGCCAGGTCGGGGCGGGTCGCCAGTAAATCGCCAAGTGTCAGTCGGGTCTCAAGTAAACCACCCAGTCCGGCCGGGTCATACCACGGGATATATCCCCGACAGAACGTGTGTTGAGTTCATTGTTCATGGATGGCAGATATGATTTCCTCCTTCAGCGTCTTAGTCATGGTGGGGTGCTAGATCTGGAGTTCGATGGTGTGTCTGGGATGTTGCCTCGGTCTGGTTCGTTCAATGGCAATGGCTTCACTTTTGGTGAGCCACCTTCGAGGTCCGCAAAGCTGCATATCAGCGATGGAACCGCGTCGAGCTCGGGTGAGGAGGTGATCCATCATTTTTCTTCGGTGGCTGCTGTGGTGGTGCAGAAGGTAGGTGATGGGCGTTGGTGTCAAGCTCGGAGATGTTCTGCTATCTTTTCAGTTTTATCATGTCGGTCTTTACGTGACTTGTACTCTATTCTTTATGATATGAATGAGACACGTATTACCATGCAAAAAAATCTATTATGCTCCCTTCGTTTCTTTATGTAAGATATATTATTTTCAGCACAATGACCAAGCCACATAATTATAGACATGTTATGACGAAATTATTTTTGGCAAATTTGTTGGTTAGTGGCAAGTAAATCAGTCAGTCCAGAAAAGTAAGAGATACATGCAATCCATAGAGAGATGTTTTCCTTCTGTTGCTATAAGGAGAGATACAGACAATCAAAAGAGAGATATTTTCCTTTTTCTGAATAGCTAACAAGAGAATTATAAGGAATTTGAAGAAATACATTTTACATTCTGAAATTTTATTAAAAAAACAGATGCACCTTATATAAAGGAACGGAGAGAGTATTAGCCCAAAGTGTGAACTTAGTGAAACACATAGCCAAGTTGGCAAATAGTCCCTCCTTACCAAAATATAGAGCATATAATATTATTTTCAAGTCAAACCGTGTAAATTTTGACCAAACTTATATAAAAGGGTATCAACATCTCGAATACCAAGTCAATACCATCATGACTTATATTTTCATATGGTACACATTTGATATTGTAGATACATATGATTTTCTCATTTTAACTTGCTCAAAGTTAGTGAAATATGATTTTTCGCTGAGTCCAATGGGCACTATATTATGCCAAGGAGGGAGTATTTAATTTGCCCCAACAAAATCAAGAGAACCAAGACATTATCTACAAAATTTAGGGCTCCATATTTGGCGAGTCTTTTTTTAGAGCTTTTTTTAGAGCTATTTGGCGAGTCATGGGTCTAGGAGCTATTCGAATAGCATATCGGGCTTGGAACGTGTTGGCTTGTTGGGGCAAGAACAAATATTTGTTTGTTTTGGGGCATCAAAGCCCACTAGTGCTGATTCCCAAGAAAGAAAGAAAACACGAAGCCCACTAGTGCTTGGAACGTCCTCATCTCTGACTTCCCCTAAAAAAAAATCTCTGACTTCCACAGTCCCACTCTCAAAATCCTCGGGCAGGTCGGCTCCGCCTCTGCCATTTCTTCAGCAACCTTCCGCCGCCGCCGGGACCCTTCCATTCCCACTACCACTAGCCCCCCCGTCGACGGAAGTGGCTTCGTACCCAGGTCCCCCGGTGTCGGCCCCTTCCCCATTCATTGTCTACGGCTCCGTGACCACTCACCAGTCTGGTCTCGCTCTCGCCGGAGAGGCACATCGATCTGCTTCTGTGCGCTGCGCGGCGCTGCACTGCTCAGACTGGTGAAGAAGGCGAGTATTTATTATCGTCTCTGACATACAGAGTTACCTCTTCTCTTTTCTTCCCCTCAAGCTCAAGGATATGGTTGGATAGACTGTGTGTGTTCTTTTTTCTAGAGGAAAATGTGTGTTCTTACTGAGGATAGAACTCCTCCTGGATCTTTCTTGCTCTTGTGCAGTGAAGAGGCTGGGCCTGGGGTGGAGATGGGAGAGGCCATCCGCGGCATCCTCCTACGCGGCAGTGTGGCTTCAGAAGCTCGTGCTCTCTGTCTCCGCGCAGGCCAAGGTTGTGGCCGGATCTGATGCGCCGGCGACGCGGCCGGAGTTGGGGAGTGGCATAGCTCCTACGACGGACGGCGTCCCTGTCACAGCTCCCGCTCGTCCTCATCTGCGGCATCGCCGTCTGAACGGGAGGGGAGGAATCACGGCTGTTGGTCCACTTCTCTATTCCTTCCTTCCACAAGCACAAGACGGCGCTTCAGTTGGATTGGATCCCTTTGCTTCGCGGGCCTAAAAACTCGTCATTAACCACTGGAGTACGGCATTCGCCAGCGGCCGAGTGATGGCAGCAACCTTCTCCTTTGCCCGTGTGGTTGCTCTCTTCTTCCTGGTCGCTGCCCATCCCCATGGATGCTGCGGCTGCGGTTATCTGCCTGATCTGTTCTGCTACCCACCTCCACCACCTGCCCCCACCACCAATGTCCCCGCCACCAACGTCCCTGCATCCAATATCCCCGCCCCCAACTCCAACTCCAGCTCCGACGAGGGCTGGCTCGATGCCCGGGCCACCTGGTACGGCGCTCCCAATGGCGCCGGCCCCTACGACAACGGTACGACTACCATCATGTCTCTGAGGATTTCAATTCCAATTGCATTGCTGAATGCTGCTGATTGCGGCTCTTGTTTTCACGGATGGGTGCAGGTGGTGCTTGCGGGTTCAAGAACGTCAACTGGCCGCCTTTCTCGTCGATGACGTCGTGCGGCAACCAGCCCATCTTCAAGGACGGCAAGGGGTGCGGCTCATGCTACCAGGTTAGCATAACTGATGTCTGTCGCCGGAGTACTTACTTTTCACAGTAACATGCCGACGTTGTCGTTTAGTAGCAGTACGATTTCTTTCCCCGGACAGACAGCCTGTGATGTAACCCAATTTGATTCCATGGATCTTGGATTGTTGCGTGCAATGCAGATCAGGTGCGTGGCCCATCGTGCCTGCTCCGGCGTCCCGGAGACGGTGATCATCACGGACATGAACTACTACCCGGTCTCCCGCTACCACTTCGACCTCAGCGGCACCGCCTTCGGCGGCATGGCCAAGTACGGCCGCCACGACGAGCTCCGCCACGCCGGCATCATCGACATGCAGTTCAAGAGGTAGCTAGCTCCACCATCTTATCCTACTTAATCCCATCATCGTTAACTTTAACCGAGAACGACAAACATGGCATCCGTCTTTCCTTGTCCACCACTGGCTACTTTCCTTGCTGCAAAAGCAAATTCTGTGCTTTGCCTGCACTTTCGTCTCGCTAATTGTCAACAGCAAGAAGCATTTTGCACATCCTAACTTTACGGGATTAAAGATCCATAATCTACTGCTTTTGTTTGTTTTCTTGGTTGCAGGGTGCCCTGCCAGTACCCGGGGCTAACGGTGACGTTCCGGGTGCAGCACGGGTCCAACCCCAACTACCTGGCGATCCTGGTGGAGTACGAGGACGGCGCCGGCGACGTGTCGCAGGTGGACATAATGGAGTCGCGGCTGCCGGACAGGGCGCCGACGGGGTACTGGACGCCGATGAGGGAGTCGTGGGGCTCCATCTGGCGCCTGGACAGGCTCCGCCCGCTGCAGGGGCCCTTCTCGCTGCGCGTCACCGACGAGTCCGGCAGGTCGCTCGTCGCCGACCAGGTCATCCCGGCCTACTGGCAGCCCAATGCCGCCTACAGATCCCTGGTCCAGTTCGATGAGACGTTGCCCATGTCGCTTGTCACATCCGCTGCCACGAGCCGTCCTCGTCTTGTTCTACCTATGATGTATTCGGCGGCGCTTACGTATGTGTGGCCTTGTGTGCGTTGGATACTGGCCGTGTGATCATCTGCACTGCACTGCAGGAAGAAGAAACAAAAGATTGAACCTGGAGTATGGTTGTCTCTGTTGTAGTAGTATGTGAGTAGGAAAGAAAGCTTGTGTTTAGATGCCTGCATCAGCCTCGTTCGATGCAACGATCAGTTGTCATTGCACGCAACTATGTTAATGCAAGCAAAGTTGTGTGGAAGGATGAGACAAAGCTACAGCATATCGTTTCTTTCTTCCAAGGAAGAAAGAAAGCGATCTCGCGACTGCCGGTAGGAGTGCTTCCATCCGCCGCCGTCCTCTGGCCGCTCCCCTCTGTCAACGACCTTGGTCGTCGGTGATGAGGGGGGTCACCGAGGTCATGTGGCGATCGTTTTAGCCTTTAGTAGCTTAGGTTTTGGCTTGTTCATCATCTTGACTTCGCCGGCGGCGATGGCACAAGCAAGGATGACGCGGCGGCGGCGGCATCCTTTCATGGACCTATGTCCTCGGACTCCACCGTTGTGACATCGTATTCTCCAGCGTTTGCACGAAGATTGGGAGGTAGTCCAGGAGCGATGCAGATTGTGGTCTGCATAGGCGGCATCTGAAAGATGGTGGATCGTGTGATGGGTTCGTGGTTCGTGGATGGTAGGTGTCGTTTTCTCCTTTGACGTCTTAATCATGCGGGGGTAGCAGATCTGGAGTTCGATAGCCTGTGCGGGATGTTACCTCGGTCTGATTCGTTCAATAGTAATGTTTTCGCCTTTGGCGAGCCAACTTGGAGGTCCGCAAAGCTGCATCTTGGAGGTCTGCAAAGCTGGATATCAGCGATGGAGTTGCGTCGAGTTCGGGTGTGGAGATGATCCGTCTTTTTTTTTCTTTGGTGACTGTTGTGATGATGCCGAAGGCAGTGACGGACGTTGATGTTAAGCTCAGGGGATTCTTCGATCTTGATTGTAATTTTCTTTTTTGGATGGCGTTCCTTTGTGTAAAGCCTAGCATACTGCTATTTTTTTAGTTTTGTCAGATTGAGTGTGTACGTGACTTGTACTATGATCATATAAATGAGCCACATATTACCGTTAAGAAAAGATGAGACAAATCTAATTTCCCAAAGGAAATTAGAAAAGATCGACTCTCTGTACAACCCCTTAAAAATATCAACAGAGAATCTCTACGTACCCATCATAATAAAGGATAGAATGGTATTTAAAAAAAATATGTTCGCCCATACGCGACCTAGGCGTACATGGCATACCCGAGCATATTTTGGCGCCCTCAGCTTTTTGCTATCTTTTTTTTAATCATCAAAAAATGTGGCGAATGTAAATTAGTAAAGTTTCAAGCAGGGCTTCTTTGTGTCTCTTTAACCGGGTTTTGTTATGCTTTATTCTGATTTTTTTGTTTTCATTTTCTCTTTTTCTTTGTCATTTATTTATTTTTTGTTTTTCCAAATGTGTGAAATTTTAAACTTTAAATTCTTAAACTTTTTCTCAAATTTATCAATCTTTTTCAATTTCTTGAAATGTTTTTGCAAATATTTTTAGTGAAATTATATTGAAATTCCGCGAAAGATTTAGAATCCATGAACATTTTATTAAATTGATGAATTCTTTTCAAATCCGCGAACGCTTGGCTGGCCTAACAGGCGCCCTGCGGGGCGATGTCGCCGCCTAGTTGGGCCAAGGCCTAAACGTTTTTTTACCTGTCTATTCTTTTTTCTTCTCTTTTTTTGGTAATTCATTTTATTCCTTTTGAAACTTGTTCAATTTTTTAATATTGTTTGGATACTATTTTTCTTAATTTTTTTAATATTTTTTAAATTTTACTATAAAATCCAGAATTTTAGAATTTTTCTAGAATTTAAAATATATTCCTGTTTTCAAATTTTTTGTTCACAAATTTAGGAAATATCTGTGTTTCATAAATAGTTGATAATTTCTTTTAAAAAGTATGTGGTGTGCAATATGTGTTCAAAATTTTTGTCAATTGTTCGACATTTGTTAATAAATTTGGAAAAAGTGTTCCAAGTTTGAAATTCCAAAATTGCTGACAAATTTCAAGAAATGGCCAGGACATAAGAAAATGTTCATATTAATTGATAATGACGGAAATTGCAAAGGACAAAAACATTTGAATATGGAAAAACTACATGCTCATGGATGCACCCATCTCCGTCTGGCCTAGTCTCTGAACTAGTATTTTTTTTGGACTATGGACAAATGACCCCAACTTCTTCAAGTCGCCTGGCACAGATATATGAGACATCCATGTCAGGTTTGGACGATTACCGACACCACTTGCACGTTGCGACACGTCCGGCCATTTATTAACCTATTTCATCGAGAGAACTCAAGAAAATGCAAAACTTGTCAAAAATAAAAACAACTTGGCATGATGCCTTGAATTGGTCATAGAACCTGGCAGGAAAAATTGGGATCGTTTGACGGATGAAGAAAATGATGTGCTTTCAAACAGACCCTTCTGGCCTACCTGAACACTCTCCGTTCAACATGATATATTTTTTGACATTCTTGAAATGACCCTAACTTTTACAAGAAAATGGGCATGCCCATGTTAGGCATCCATGTCAGGTTTGAACAATTTCTGACACGTTCGACCATTTATCGGTCTTTTTTGACCAAGAGAACTCCAGAAAATGCAATTTTTTGAAAAACCAAATACCTTGGCATGGTGTCTTAAATTGGTCATATAAAGTCATGGGGAAAAATTAGGTCCATTTCAAGGATGTCGAAAAACAATGTGCTCTCAACCGGACCCATCTGACCTCAGCTCGAACACTCTTTATCGAACATGACCTACTTTTGGACATCCTTCAAATGATCCTAACTTTTGCAAGCACGCGGGCATGCCCATGGTAGGCATCCATGCCATGTTTGAACAATTTCTGACACCGTATGCAAGTTGTGACACGTCCTACCATTTACCAGCCTTTTTTACTATGAAAACTGTAGGGGATTACCAAGTTTGTCAAAAACCTAAACAACTTGGCATATAAGCCAATGAAAAAATATTGGGGTCGAGAAATAACGTGATCTCAAACGGAGCCCTTCTGGCATATTTTTGAAATGACCCTAACTTTTCCTAGCACATGGGCATGCCCATGATAAGCATCCATACCACACTTGAAGCCACTAAATTATTTAAAATCATAATTTAAGCAGGTGCTTCAAGCTATTATTTTAAGTTTTTAACATAACTAATCAATACAATGGGATAAAATTGAAAAAAATGCTTTTAATTAAAAAAGAATTTTAAATCATAATATAAAATTGTTACTTAAAATTATTATGTTGGTATCCAAACAATGTTTCAAATCTTCGAACATGTTTTAAAAAGGATAATAAATTTCGAAAATAAGAAAAATGAATTAACAAAACAAAGAGAAGAAAAATAGAAAAGAAAAAAAACTCATAGGCGTTAGCTGAACTAGGCGACAAGATCGCTCCCATCGGGCACCTGCTGGCCCGGCTCAAGCACTCACGGATTTGAAAAAAGTACATCAATTTTTGAAAATATATTCTGCCAACTTCGGCTTCCCATAATTGTTCTCTCTGACTTCGGGAACCTTCTTATTCTTTTTTACTTTTCTTTTTATTTTTTGCTTTTATCTTCTCTCCAATTTTCTTTTTTTGGGTTTTTTTCTTTCATTTTTCATTTTCTTTAACATTTTCCTTTTTGATGTCTATTGTTAATATTTTTCAGCAATTCAAAAACTTTAGAATATCAATTTGTTGTTTGGAATTTCGAAATATGTAATGCTTTTCAATTTTTTTTTGAAAAATAGTTCATATTTACAAAAAGAATGTTTGGAGTTTTGGTTTTTCTTTATATTTATTAATCAATGTTCAAAAAATTAGGAAATTTTCAGAATTACAATTTTTGTTCATGTTTCAATTTCTGTTCATATTTATAAATTTTCAAAAATTCAAAAAATTCACAACAAAAAAAATGTTCATAAATTCAAAAAGATATTAAAAAAGGCAGCCCAGTCCATGTAGCACCCGCTTGCGTAGGGTCCAAGGAATGGTCCGACTACTTTGGGTCTATTGTACGTAGCCTTTCCCTACATTTCTACAAGAGGCTGTTTCCAGGAAATTCGAAATAATTTTTGCACTGCAAAAATTTCATCGGGGTTGAAAAAAATGTTTCAGCTGTCATAAATTGTTCACAGACCGAAAAAATGTTCAAAATTTGAAAAGATATTGAAATTCCAAAATATTGTTCACTAATTAAAAAAAGATCCCCTTTTCAAAAAGAAATCACAAATTCAGGAAATTCGAAATAATTTTTGCATTGCAAAAAATTCTTCGGGGTTAAAAAAAATGTTTCGGCTTTCATAAATTGTTCACAGACCGAAAAAATGTTCAAAATTTGAAAAGATATCGAAATTCCAAAATATTGTTCACTAATTAAAAAAAGATCCCCTTTTCAAAAAGAAATCACAAATTCTGGAATTGTTTGAGGAGTTTTAAATAATAGTTCGACTTTCACAATTCGTTTAGAATTTAAAAAATGTCCCCGTTTTCAAAAAATTCAGCAGAAATACAAAAAATGTTTGGGGAACTAAAACTATTGGTTTCAATATTTTTCGTATTTTTTAATTTCAAAATTTGTTATTGCTTTTGAAAAATGTTGGAAAAATTCAATAAATATTCATGAACAATTTTTTTCGCTCTTTTTTAAAAAAGTTTGTGTGTTGACATTCTGAGCAATTTTAAAAGACGCACGCATTTTATTTAAATTTCTGTTGTTGTTTTTTTTAAATGCATATATTTGTAGTGTAGGAAAAAATTTAAAAGACTAATTGTTTTATTTAAAAAATTATTATTATTGCGAGCCTTTTTTGAGAAATAAAAAAGGAATGGTTTTTTGAAAAGAAATAAGAAAAAGGCAGAAAAAAAGAATGGTTCGCTACCGTAAACCGGTTGCTGAGGGATAGTTCTTGTTGTCCGTGTTTCCTAGTTAGGCACTCAAGCTTATCAGCTCATATGCCTAGCGAGGAGCGGTCAGGA